TGCAAAATGGGCAAAAAAAGGGGCAAAAAATGGCGCTAGAGGTTTCTTGTCAATTTTGCGATGTAGGTCCTCATGGTTCAAGCTTCAACTCATTTGGTCCTTCAGTGATCATTCTTGAAACCGACTGATACTTGAGTGACCGTTAGTGCAATTTTTAAACTTCAGTGACTGTTTTATTATTTTGATGTAACTTCAGTGACCGTTTGTGAAATTAACCCATTGTTACAATAACAAGAAATAGAGATTTTTTTTTTTGCTAACATGATTACATAAATTTGTGATATTTATTTTAGCTAAAAAAAGTTAGCATTCAAATAAAAAAAAAATTAAGAAATGAGGAAAAAAAAAACAAACTAGGATAGTCCCTACTTGATCCTGTTAAAATTATAATTTATTTTCATCTTTTTTCTTATTGACTACACATTCTCCGATAAAAAAAATATTATACGTAAATCTAAAACTTTTAGTTTTTTTTAATAACACATTCTCCAAAAAACTTATATTCGAAAATACATTTTTTTTTCAAATTCTCATTATAATGGGGTCAAACAAGGGCATAGAAAAATATCATTCAATAGAAAAATATTATTATATTATTAATAATTAAGGGCTAAGGGTAAGATAAGAAATAAAAATATATTTTTAATAATTATTAAAAACAAACTTTAAGGGAAGTGAAATGTGAAATTAAATGACTTATTTAATTTCACATATCATTTAATGCCATATTAACGTCACCTAAACTGGAGTTATAATCTCAGTGTGATTAAATAACATTACTTTTTTTTTTTGAAAATAGATAGTGTATCTCTGAAATTGCCAGAAATTTTAGGGAATATTTATGAAGCACTGTTTGAGCCCCATTCCATAAAAGTTCAGGGCACATTTTGATATTTTCAAATCGTGATTAGTTTTCAATTTTGCAAAACAATGAAAACTTGTTTTGTTTGTCATTTTCAAAAATGTATTTTCAAAAATAAGAATAAATTTATAACATAAAATTCAAAACGCATTTTTGACGTTGTGAGTATTTTTAGTGAAAAATTTGAAAACACTCAAAACAAGGAAAACAGACATTTAAATAAAATTTCTTAAAATAAAATTTGAAAAAATAAAAATATAAAATTCTAGCAAATAAAATTATAAAATTATTAAAAAATTAAATGCAAAAACAAAAGTGATAAATTCTAAAAAACTAAAAATAAAATTCTAAAAAATTAAAATTATAAAAATTTTGAAAAAAAATAAAAATCACAGAAAATAAAAAATAAAAATAGTTCTAGCTCTTAATATCTATTTACATAAAAGTTTATAAAAAATATTTAAACGAACACAAACAAAAATGTTTTAAGTCCACGAATTAATTTTTATTTTTATTTCCTAAATTTTGAAATTAATTTATTATTTAATATTTTAAGTTTTTAGTGAGAAAAATATTATAAGATTCACTAACTTTAAAATTTATATAATACTTAAAAGAGATATTAACGCGAAATTGTTAGTTTTTTACTGAATAATCAAATTTAATGAAATAAAATGTAATAAAACAATTTTTCAAAATTTCAAACGAAACGTGTGTTGTATTGTTTTCTATTTTAAGAAATAAATTTTTAAAATGACAAATCCAATGCGATTTAAAAATCTTAAAACAGACCCTCAAAACAGAAAATAGAAAGTGAACTAAAAATTCAAAAGTGAAAACTAAAACACAAATCAAATGGATCCTCATTTTTTCTAAAATTCATTTTCAAATACATATTCTTTCAATGAAATAATTTAACATAGAAATTCAAAATTTCTTCTACTTCATGATTACACATTATCAAATAAATTATTATTTCAAAATTTATTCTACTTAAGAATGGGGCTCAAGCACATTGAAATCTATAACAAAAATGAACAAGTGTGAATAATTATTATTCTTTATCCACAGTTCAAACTAAAGAAAAAAGCTTTGACTAAACTGTTGAAGTTTAAATTGAATGCTTTTACTATTTAACCACACATTTTTCAGAAAATCACCATTCCAAAACTCGATTTTTCCAAAAACCTTTATTTTAATGATTATCAAACATGTGTTTATTATTGATCATTGTCTCTAACTTATCAATGTACTTTTTATATCATTAGATTATCTGTCGCTTGATCATAAACCGTAAAAAATAGACGGTATTGATGAAGAATTGTGGAAAATACGGTTTAGAACGAGATATTAACCCAATACTTTTATTCTCTTATATTTTATTTTATGCATTTCAGTTATTTTAATTAAAGGAGATATTAATAACATATTGATGTAAAATAATTAATGAATTGTAAGAATCTTGACAAATTCAATTCTTGAAGTGCACCACGATAAGAGTTTTGGTACACGGACATGGCCATGTTTGCCCTGTCTGTCTAGGGGACGCACATGGTGCCCCCTATTGGCTGGTGGTCTGTGACAGATAGGACCCACGTAGCCATGTCCATTTAGAATAATCCCCATTATAAACTTGAATTTAGAATCTTGATTTGAGTTGAATGGATTAATAATCTTGATTTGAGTTGTTAAAACACAAAAATATGAAAAAAGAAAAAAAAAACGACATTGATGATTTCAAAGTAAAAATGAAATTATTGTAATTTATTTAATCAAGTGCTCCAAAATAAAATAAAAAAAAAATACCTATAAGAGCTTGTTTGGTAGGGATTCTTTAGGGGAAAAATTGATTTTAAATAGTGATATGATGAGAAATGTGTGGTTGAAAAGGAAGAAAAAATTATTGATGTGATAGAAAATATTATTTTATTGAAGAACGAGTGGTTGAAAATGAGAATTGATTTACTGTAGAAAATGAGAATTCCTACCAAACAGGCCCTAAATAAATATAGTCCCTGTTTGCAGGCCATTTTTGCTTTGATTTTTTTTTTAAATAGTGAATTTTTGGAGGACACGTGGTTAAAAAGTAGAGGAAATGTTTAAGTTTTACATGTATAATATTTTATTGTGTGAATATATAGTTGAAAATGAGTACATAGAAAAAAAATTAAAAGAATGAAAGAAAAACAAGGGCATACTTTGTATATATGTTACTAATATCCTTTTTAATTAAAGTAACTTGAAAGCATAAGCTAAAATATAAGAAAGTAAATTTATGGTGTTAAATATCTCATTGATCGCTCTACTTTTCACAATATTTTTTATTGATCGTTGTACTTTTTACCAAGTTTATGACTAGCCACTAAATTTGTGTCACGGTGAAATATAATTGTCAAAGTTTCCATGTAATTCATTCATTATTCACATCCCTCGTTCGGTCTATTTTGTAACGGTTGATGATAGTGTGATGGATGGTCATAGTTCATTCAAGTCCAACGCTAGTCAAACACGTTTCAAGGTTTAAAGTCGATGATAAAAATTGTAAAAAGTATAGCGATCATTGGTACATTTAACTCTAAATATTACTCATATATATAAACATTATGAATAAAAAAAAAAATCTAAATGTACTATTCATGCATTAATATCTATTTATATCTTAAATTATTTATACACACTTAAGAGTGGCTTTTTACTATAAATAACCAACTTTTAATTAAAAAAAAAGAAGGGAAGGATCGGAGCCATTTGTGCTTCATAATGGGGCACAACAAATTAGGTCGTCCGCTTGGGGTTCACATTATGCCAAATGATTACCCCTTCAGATTCAAATCCCTGCAACGAATTTCTTTCTCCATTGATAAAGCAAAGCAAAACGCCATCATTGTTCGGTGTGGAGGCATACGTGGAATTCCAGCAGCTTCCGTTCATGAATATATTGAATTTAGGGATTAATTTAAGGTTAAGTGGGGGAGGAGGAGAAAAGGCAAATTTGCAACAGCTGGATCTGTAAGCAATCCTAATACCAACACGTACCCATGTCTACACTCTCTCTCTCTACTCTATCTCCAGTTCCACTTCCTGCGGTTATTTGCTCGTCTCTTTCGTCTTCTCTGCAAATTCCACCCAGAAAAATCGCTACAAGAATTCAAGCTTCTGCTTTGTGTTCCACTGCTTTGGCTACGGGTTCGAATCCTAACGTTGTTGTCACCAGAGAACGTGGCAAAAACGGCAAGCTCATTGATTCTCTGGTACATTTTGTTTATTTCTTTGTGAATATACATTCTGAACGCGTTCTTTTTGGTTTTGAAAGTTTCAATTTTTATTGAGAGGTATAAGCTCATGTGGCGGGTAATGCCTGGTTTTGGTATGGGAAAGTAGGTTTTGGTATGGGAAAGTATTTTTTTTTCCCCTCGTGTTATTGATGGGAATCTTGTGGTAATGCCTTGAGTATGAGTTTTTGTCAGTAGTTTATTTATGTATAATGGAAACTCGGCATTATGTGTTTGATCAAATGCTGAAATGAATGTGGCCTTTCCGTCTAGTAAAAGGAAAGAGAGTAGAAAAGCGAGTTGTTGGAAAGCTAGAGTCAAGACTGATAAGCGATGATAAACATGGAAATTATTTAAGATATAGGAATTAAATATAGTAATAAATGTAAATTTATGCACTTTGTTTAGATGAGTGTGTATCATAGTACAGTACATATCCATTTATATATAAGAGGAAATTTTCTGGAAAGAAACCAAGAAGTGAGAGTGAAAATTGCCATTCTGATTTAAAAGTAGAAAATTTCCAGTTCTTACAATTAAGTCTTGTTTGTCACTGCGACTGCAGATGTATTTCAGAGGGCAGTAAATGCAATAACTTGATTTGTGGAGTCTACTTATCAGTTTGTGTGTGTATAGACGACACAGAAGAAGGAAAACAAAGAGAAGAAGAAGATAAGAACATGAAAATGAGTGTATATATTTGTTCTCATAATAAATGTGGATCGGGCTTTCTATATTTTCACTCATATCGTGGCAACATTAACTCGATGCCTTCCTTCCAAATATCTTTCCTCAGTTTTCTCATAATTGTATCCGTACTCGATATAGTGCCTAAATTTTTTCATTTCAAAAATGAATTGCTTTTTGGAAAACATTATTTGGATGGTTAGAAGAATGAGATGAATAAGCCTTCTATAGATTGCAAGTGTGCTCAGTTACAGCCAGGAAAGGCTGGTGTTCAAGACAATGAAACAAATTTCTAAACGTTGGAGCCTCATTTAGACCCCCTTTTTTTTAATTCTTAGATCATCTCCCTTTTGATAAAATTGCTTGCCTCTATAACCCATCCTGGATACTATAGTAGCAGGAGTTTCATTCACAAGGATGGACCTGCTTGTATCCTTAACTATTATGATCACATGCTAGTCATTTGTGAGTCTGTCAAAGTTCCCAAGAATCAGACTGGAAGTAAACTGTAGATGGCACTATTTAGAACAAAAATCACTGGTGCAGAATAAGAAATGATAAATTGGGCAATGGCTTATAAGTCCGCATGTGAGCGTAATATGTCACTACCACGGATATCAATTACGGAAAATAGAAGAGCACCAGAAAATAGTGAAGCTGGTAGCCTAATCAAGCAGGTCATGCATTCAGGTAGAAGTGAAATGATGGTTTCCCCGCAGGCATTCGGGTTAGAATAAGTGCTGGGTGTTTGTAAAGTGTTCTATGATGGTCATCCATTGGTTAAAGCTTCAGAAATGGTGCCAGCAGCATGTTTGTTCTAACATCTACTCTGAGACCTGAAGTACAGTAGAAATAGCCTATAAATAACAGATATCTATTAGGGTCCGTTTGATTGCAAATGTGGAAATGGGTGGAAAGAAAATGAATTTCAGGGAATTGAATTGCATAGAAATTGTTTTACTGGGAATTGTAATTAATTATGTTTGATTGGTATAATTTTCCACCTGAAAAATGTTGAAAGTTTGGTGTCCGTTTGACTTCATTTTTTATGGAAATTGTCCATTAAAGTAATAATTTTTTCTACCATTGGGTATTTTGGTGAGAAAATTTGTTTCCATTGTCAAAAAAAAAAAAGGGAAAAAAAATCAGAACCTGGAAAACCTTTTCCCACCACTTAGGAGGAGGGGAAAAGTTTTTCACATAAGCCTTGAAAATGTGCACATGTGGGGGGAGGTGGGAAAAAGTTTTGTCAAGAAAATTAACCCTATCAAACACCTAAAAAGTTAGAAAATGGAAAACCAATTCCATTTTTCATGGAATTTCCACCCTATCAAACACAACCTTAGTTCATTTGCTTTGCTTCTGGACAACCGTACGAGGCCTGAGGCTTACAATGCTTTCAAAGTGGATTTTGAGGATACTGTCTGTGCATTGGAAGTTATAGATTGGTTTTTGATAGTCATTGGGCTGTCTGTTGCACCAAGAATAATGTTAGCGAGAGGATAGGATACATTGTATATGAAGTGATTGGCTACGGGCTTATAAGTGGAGTTGTGCTTGTTATGCATAGTATTTGATTTTGTTTCTACAGAACGATCTGAATAAATGGTGAAGCTGGCCAGATTTTGTCATGGTCCCCAGGGAATGCAAGACAATCATTAAAGGTGTATGAGTTTAACACATCGTGACTCATCAAACTTTTAACCTGCAATCTTTAAGGAAATTGATTTGAAAAGTAATTTGCCCGTTCTTTTTTAACATGCGTGTTCGATATCTTACAGTGATTTGAGCAACAAAGATCATGTCTTGGGCTTTAGTAGTGGCTCCACATGTCTTCTTTTATTTATTTATTTATTTATTATTATGATTCATGATCTATTCACATGGTTAATCCTATGATGATACTACTTTACTCTCTAGAGGCTAATGACAACTGATACTGACAAGCTACTTCTTGGTGTGTATTACCTCCCCGTGATTGCCTAATATTGTTGCATTGTTAAACATAACCTTATGTGACGACTTAGTCTTCTTTAATACAGGCAAAACATGGAATTGACTGTCTCGAGCTTCCTCTCATTCAGCACAAGCAGTTGCCTGATTATGATAGACTTCCTTCTGTATTGAGTGGTAAGTTTCTTATGGGTTAGCTTGATGGTTATAATAGATTGTTTCAGATTATCTTGATGCTATTGTTCACATTCTGTTCATTTCAGAGACAAATGGTTTTTTTATTTTTATTTTGAAGGTTTTTATTTGATGTTTTGCCTCATTCTATTTGTCTGTGATCCCTATTGTGTTTTGAACCATTATTTTATTATCTCGCATCTTTAAAGATGGTTCATACGGGTGCGCGTAATATGCCAATGTTGATGTTGCCAAACTTGATTCCTCATTGAGCTTAAATAGTCAATATCTTGGACCCATGTCAGATTTGAGAAGAGAGAACAAACTCCTTTTTTGGGCTGTGAGGCACAAGGTACCAAGATTATCCAATCACAGGGTCGAAAGTTCACATGGATTAAATTTCTTTATGTAAATATTAGCGGAGGGGGTGAGGGCAGTGGCCCCCACTGTTTTTTTCTTAAAATCATGATTTTGGAAAACTGTTTGCTTTGTTTGACAAAAATTTCTGTAGTTAATTTCTGCCACCACTTAACTTAGTTCCTGGCTCTGCTACTTCAAAAGTCAAAAACTCTCTCTATCCCCATCCACAAACACTTGTTCTATGATAGTTACTTCCATTTAAATTCAAATAGCGGACACGCATTATTATTTTTTCTTGCTTACTATTTATCTATTGCTGCAGACACTGCATTTGACTGGATTGTCATAACTTCACCTGAAGCCGGTCTGGTTTTTCTTGATGCTTGGAAGTAAGCTTTCTCTTGTACTGCATGTTGTAATATTGAATTATTCCTGCACTTCCTGTGGAGATATTCTGTTTGCATATTTTTCGATTTCAAAATCTTCCATTATGTTTTTGGAAATATGAGTGAGAAGTATGACAAACAATTATCCAAAGGAAACTAATAAAAAATAATGCAAATCTAATTAGAGATCAGTCTTGTGAAACGATGTTGTGATACTAAATATAAACTTTAGTTCCTAGAAGAACAAATTTTATCAGTTTTATTGCTCATCAATTATTTTGACATATCACTGGCTAGTTTCGCCTATCCACTTATGTTAACTTTTGATCCATAGAGCTGCTGGATCTCCGAAAGTTAAGGTTGGAGTGGTGGGAGCTGGTACAGCAAGTGTATTTACTGAAGTTTTGCGGTCCTCAAAGCAATATCTCGATGTTTCCTTTGCACCATCTAAAGGTTCATATGCTAGTTTAAATGTTATTTTAGCCCTATAAAACACTATTAAAGGTCTGAACTTTGTACATGTCCATATGCATTCATCATGTCGTGCATTTTCATATTGTTGCAACATTTTTGTGTACCTCAGTTGCGCCTCAAAGGCCACACAATTGACAGCTGCAATAAAAATAACTTCATTTTAACTTTCAGCAACTGGTAAGGTTCTTGCTTCAGAGCTTCCAAAGCAAGAGAATAGAAGGTGCACTGTCTTATATCCTGCTTCATCAAAAGCTAGTGCTGAGATTGGTATGTGCTACTATATGCCTGGTTTTTAACATTTTTTACCTCTTCCCCCTAATGCATTTGAGCACAATATCTCTCGACGTGAAGGAAGTTCCCTTTAGGCCAGGACTGTCATGACAAAAAATAAACAAATCAAATGTCAAACTTAGAAGTTGTGTCATCCTGGGGATAATCCTGAGAGGCTGAGAACAATATCTAGCTTATATTGATATTTTATAATCTGATGTTGACTTGCTTGAAAAGATTATGTGGTCGGTCGAAACATACTGGGAAAAATCCATATTAGATTTTTTCATGGAGCGTAATCTGATGACTCAGTTCTAGAGGCAGCAATGTAATTCTTTTTCTTCAGTTTCTAATAGGCAATATATCAATTCATGAAAGTGGGTTTAGTAAATTGGGACATCTCCAAAAAACATGGGTGAAATGTTCCATGGAGAGAGCACCAACAGTGTATCATGATGAGGATACTCAGAGTGGGTTGGTGAATAAGTGCATTCATAGTCCATGCAAATATAGTCTGTGACATTTGCATGAACTCGTAAACGGTCATAATCAAATGTTGTTGCTGTTTCTGCGTTTCCACTCCACATTTTCGTGAAAAGATGATTAAAATAGAATTTTTTAATTTCTTCTTATTTTTCCTTATTTATATACTGCTTTTAGCTGTGAAGATGTATAAAATCATAATTATGTTCTACAATTATAGGCTTCCACTATCCTCTAATTCATTTATTATGTTTCAATTATGAGTAATGAAAATTTATTATTCACCGTAATGATCAACCAACTTATGCAATTTAGTTATATTGCCCATTTTAACGAAATATCGATCTATCAAAAAATATTGTAGTTCTGAAATTTATAGTATTTTTTTATATGTAGATATATAGTTGTATAGCATTTCAGAATTTACATTTTGCTAGATTAAATTTTTAATAACAAAATAGCACGAAAATATTGGGATGAAGGGGGTAATAATTTATCTTAGGATGCTAAAGCCAGATGAATTAGACAATGATAAGCAGGAGACCCCGTTGGATGTTTAGATGATGAAACATGTAGGTTCTGCTTTGCGTTACTGTTTCCTCTCTTGCTAACTGGTCTATTCATGGTATATCACTAGGTTTCGCGCATCTAATGAATTCTTTTATTGCATCCTACATGTCCAAACTTGTAATATTTTTTGCAATTATTATGTCAGAAAAATGAAATGTGAACTAATTTTCACTTGGTATTTGAACTTGTCTGCTTCAGAGGAAGGCCTTGCTAAGCGTGGATTCGAGGTTACTAGGCTTAATACGTACACAACGGTATTATACTCCTGTCATTTTTGTCAATGTTTTAATGTCTCATCATACCTGTATCTTGAAAAATCACACTGCCTGCATATATGCAACAACACGAAAATTTAACAATAGATGTACAGGAATCAACTCTAAGAGTTTAGATGTCACTAATTAATGATTAACAACAAATGCTTAGCTTGGTACTATTTTTTGTGGAGGATTATTTTGTTATAGACCTTATTATAGTTATGTTCTTGAAAGTACAAACTTCAGAGTTTTACGCCCTTGTTTCCCACAACTGTAATGTGCTTTCCACCTCTTTCATAAGATCCCGACACAGCATTAGCTTTATCCTTACAAGATTTTATATCTGTTTATTTATATTATTGACCTAATTTGGTGGCCTCTGATCACATCAATTTCCTGTAGACACCTGTCAGTCATGTGGACCAAAGGGTTCTTGAACAGGCACTTTCTGCTCCTGTTGTTGCTGTAGCATCACCTTCTGCAATTCGGTATACTTTCTGTTCTAGTTTCACGTTATTTTTGTTGAATATTAGTCTAAACATTTGATCCTGGCCCAGTGAAGACGAATACAAATTTTCTAGAGTTGAATTCAAACCTTGAAGATGAACTGACTGACTTGGATTTCTTAAAGGTTTCTTATTATTCAATTTTTTATTTTTTATTTTGGATGCATTGTATACCAAAACTCACATAGGTATTTGCATTCACATATTAAATGCATTGGATCTAGAGTGCACTTACAGGATCTTGTGACCCACCACTCCTTCCAGCAATATTTACTGTCTTTTCTTGCTAATTCACTTACAGGATCTTGTGCGTAACAGTGGGTGTGTTTATTACGGTTTACAACTTTGGGACTTATTACCATTGAATGCATTTCTCTAGAACAATTTTCTTTATTACGGTTCCATGAATTTTGTTTACCTTGCCTTGTCCTTTTTATTCCTTATCATTTACCAGTTGCTTGCATATTTTCCTTTACAGTGCTTGGGTAAGTCTTATCCCAAAATCACTAAAGTGGAGCAATTCTGTTGCATGTATTGGTGAGACAACTGCCTTAGCAGCTAAAAATCTGGGCTTGCGGAATGTGTATTTCCCTACAAATCCTGGCCTTGAAGGGTAATCGACTCTCCTGGAAACTTTTGTGAAATTGTACATATCCTTGAAATTGTTTCTGATGCAATTGTTTATATCTCTGTGCTATAGGAGTGGTAATAGCCCCAGCTGTTATTCGTTTTCTCTTTACTCTCTGAGATGTGTTTGACATAGTCAGAGTTCACTATTTAATTGCAAGTTAGAAGAAATACTAGTCCATAGCATAAATTAATGAGGGAGGGAGATTGATTTTATTTGAATGCATATGCATCAGTATATAAATGTGAAACACTAATGGCATGGAAAATTGGATTCCACAACACTACAGTATGAAAGCAGAAGTAGTAGTTAAAATGTTAACAATTGTTATCCAGTTATGTCCAGCAGTGCATACCAATCATGTTCTAAGTTTCTTTGGGTTTGTCCTTTTTCTGCAGGTGGGTTGATAGCATTTTAGAAGCCTTGCAAGTTCTACCCGATCAGGTCTTCCAGATCCCTTGGTAAGCTGATGCCTTTCTAATTTCGCCTGGTAATTTCTAAACACTAGTCATTGTAAATTGTTTTCTACTGAATAAGGATACCTACTATTGAAGACTAAATTTAAATATATAAATGCATTTCTTCTCTAACACCTTAAAGCTTTTAGATGTGGTGGTTCAACAGAATATCAAATCATGCACAAATATTAATTTGAAATCTCCATGTCACGCATTTGTGAAAATTGTACGTGTGTTAGACCTTCGATAAAAATAAATCCGGCCAGCATGCAAGCGGACGTGTTGACTAAATACGAATAAATAAATGCATCTCCTCCCTTTAATGGGTTAATGCCTTAAGCTTAATAGATGAGGTGGTTCAACATATACCTTTCCTTTTCTCTATTTGTTATTTCAGGCACTAGTAGGCTGATAAGGAGCTTAATTTTCAGGTTTGATGGGCGCAGAGTTACAAGCATTCATTTCCCTATATAAATAAACATCTAGAAACTCGAGTTAAAGATGGTAGAAACAGCAGGAAGAAAGATCTCCTTGCTGTTTGCCATTACAGAATAAGCATGTGTATATCTGGCAAAGTTTTAGAGGTAAGTGAAGAACTTACTTTAGCAATGGCGCTTTTAGGAAGACGCATTGCAGAAATGTAAATGCGTATTTCTTGCTGTAGGATGTAAATATCATTTTTATGTTGGACTCTTGTTAAATGCAATATATTCGACCTATTATTCTTTGCTTCAGAGCACAATGAAGTTACTCGGTTAACTTTTCTTTTTATTCAAAATTCATATCTCAGTCATCAAATAGTTGGGCAAGTAGTCAATAGTCTTGATTTGCCGCTGTCACTTGCCATACGAAGCACGCATTCATTACTCGTTGCTTTGGGACAACTACCTTAACTGAGAATTAAAACTGTTACACCCTGGATATATTTATCTTTTAAATTTTTTTTCCTTCAACTGTCTCAACTACTTTGAAATATATTATTATGTTTACCTATTGTGATGGTTAACTAGATATGCTTTCAAATGAATGATTTTATGAAATGCCGTCACTATTACTCCACTATTTAAGTAAAGTGATATGCAGTAGAAAAGTAGACACGCTCATGATTTTAGTTTGTATAATAAATTCCTCAATTCCATCTCCAAATTCTTTTTGAAAATCTTCTCCCTTGACAAGGGTTTTATTTGTTGGGGTACAGTGGTTCCAAAACCTTTGATATAATTTGTAGTCGAGAAATTTCTATTGGTCTGAGTGTTTTATGAGATTGAGTATAAGACTAAGCCCTTGTTTGATCCTCACATTTTTCCAAAATCTTCTCTCTCCTCTCCTTTTAAACGACACATTTTTCAATAAACTAATGTTACATGCAAATTTAAATTTTTTTTCCTTATTTTTTAACCACGTATTATCAATCAATTTTCTATTTTAAAATGCATTTTACACAAAAAAAAGGGGCTCGAACAGACTTGAAGCTATCTTATTACAAATAACGTGAGCATTTCTCGAAATAAAAAAAATTCTATGTTTGGACACCAAGAATATAGCTAGCATTGAAATATTCTGTTTGTTTCTCATTATTGGGAGAAAATTATTGTAATGAATAGTATTTTTTGAAGAATGTGTGGTTGAAGATTAAAGTAATTTTATTGGTTTGTGTGTAGAATATTTTATTGGGGAATGTGTGGTGGAGAATTTTACTGTAGCAAACAATTTTTTTAATTAATTGTAGACAAACTGGGGCTGAATCGGTAATGAATGGGAGATTTGAAATAGTATGTATATTGTCCTTGACAATGTGATTTGACATCTCTAGTATGTGGAAGAAATATGTGCACTGATGTGATGGATGTACTCAAAATTAAGTGTAGATCTTTCCATATAGGAAAGTGTAAAAGTTAACGCAAAGGAGAATTTAGTGTAGCAAGGTTAGTCAAATTAAGCTCCCGTTTGGTCCTCATTATTTGATAGTATAATTTTTGGAATAGTATTTTTTTTAGAGATAGTGGTTGAAAACGAAGGAATGATTTTTATTTATTTTTGGTTTATGTGTAATATTATTTTGTTGGAAAATGTATGATTAAAAAAAAGATTGAGAAAATGTATTATAAATTAATGGAGGCCAAACAGAGGCTAAGATTGCAGAACAGAAATTTGCCATCCCAACTCATTCTCAATATAAACCAAGTTTGTCCATCCATGTGGGATCAAGGGATTGAGTAATGTTATTTAGCATTATTGATGACAATAAATGTCATTAAATGAAATGTACAATTAAATGAATCACATAATTCTATCTCTAATTGAGCTTATCATATAAGGTCATATAAATTTGTGTTATAGTACCACCGATGTTAGATAGCATTACGCAAAAGAATTGGATTGAGTTGTCATAATGAATGATGATGAACTTGTTGCATATATGTCATATTTTATTTCAAAGAAATAATTAAATTGGGATAGTTGATTGAGTGGTAAAATGTGTGAAAATCTTGTACTACCAAGCAGGGTCAAAAATACGATAAGTAGACAAATAATTTTAGGAGTGTGGAAGGACAAATTTTGACCACAACACTATCCGTCAGTTGCTTAAGGATATGGTCATAACTATTGACTATGAAAAGTCAACTGAGAATATTGCCAACCCAATGACCAAAGGCTTAATTAGAGTTTAGTTCAGAAAACATCGTGAGGAATGTGGTTAAAATTTATTAAAAATTGGATTACCTATAACTGAAATCCAGTTTTACAACTGGAGATCCCATGGACAAAGTTCAATGGGACTACCAATTGTATGATTTTGGGATTAGCTAAGGCTCTTAATACTTTTTTTATTTAATGGGGGCATTTAGATACCATGCATTCTTGATAGAAGCACCTATTTGAGTGTGAAAGTAGGGCCACTTCATGTGAGAATTTAGATTAATTCTCTAGATCACTCAGAGAAGCTGGGAAAGTTCATACCAGAATGAAAACAATAGTTAGAACTCAATAATGGTCTTAGAAGTTGTGTGTTCAATTGTCGCAATTTACAATCATAATTGTAGTGTTCAAGACAACTCACTACAGCGTTGGCATACTCGAAACAAAGTTAAGGTTCGATTCGAATGACACCTAAACCTATATGAATTCTTCCGTACTTGAGAACATTTGTTTATCTCTTTCATGTGGGGATATATATTATTTAAAAGAAATAACTAATTGGGAGAGTTGGCCAAAAGAAAGACGTGCACGTCCAAAAGAGAGACAAAAGTCCTAGTAGCTCTGCTGAATAGTAATTCAACATAGATTTACATCTTGAAATCAAGTCAATTTTGGGGCCACTTTATGATATTGAAACCAACTAGCAAAAAACATTAACGTTGCAAAGATCAATGCACTGATTGCGGTACAAGTTGCAATTCACCAGTTATTTCAAATGCTCGCCAAATCTTAAAAAGTCCAGAGGTTATATGTATTCCTCGAAAACTCCCGTCCATCAAAATCTGCACCGAATCCCTTACAATTAATGGGCGCAAACAAATAGCACACCCTCCACTAGAATGGCCTGGAATATCTATACACGTAATCTATGCAGAGTGTGTGCTCTATTCAGCAATATAAGATGCCCCATGTTGATGACTTCATATTATTCTCACCTTCCTCCAACTTATCACTGATAGTTTATTCAGGATTTCTAACTCAATGATGGTAACTAATATGAGGGTTTTGCTTGTTGTGTGACTTAATCCAACACCTTATGATAAGAGCTGAAGATAGCCATGCATTACCTGTGTCTGCGTTCGAAGGCATCCTCCTTTCCAGAAAATTTGTAATCATGTCAATCCATAATAAGAGCTGACGATAGCCATGCATCACTTGTGTGGGCTTCCGTCAATTCCTTTGAGTTTCATTCTTGTGATTGTACTTTCCAGGCGGGATACTACATCTAGGAATACTAGGGTATTTAATCACATTCGCTCCCCTAGTTTTCTTCTCTCAATTTCAGTGTTGGCCCAACACTATGCTCTTCTTATTGTTGTTCTTTTCGATTTCTACGGATTTAACTTCTCTATAGGAAATTCGCCCTTCCCTTATGGTACTCCAGGTTGGTAGTTTTCACCGCTTGTCCAGGGTTGAGCCCTAGGATTTGACGATAGACTTAAAATTAACCTTCAGATGCTTTACGCCCAACCATTCCAAATAAAGCTTGCATTGTCTATTTTATCGCGATTGTTGGCATAAAGTTAGCGGATGATTTTTCTTTAGATATCATCATTGCTTCTTCTTTGAATAATTGCGACATGCTTAACACATACAAGTCGGATGGAAGTGATGTTTCTAGTAGCGAATGGGTGAGTAACACGTAAGAACCTGCCCTTGGAGGGGAACAATAGCTGGAAATGGCCGCTAATACCTCGTAGGCAGATGAGAAAAAGGAGGAATCCGTTTGAGGAGGGACTTTTGTTTGATTAGCTAGTTGATGAGACAATAGATAGCCAAAACAATGATCAATAGCTGATTCGAGAGGATGATCAGCTGCACTAGGATGGAGACACAACTCAGACCCCTACGAGAGACAACAATGGGAAATTGTTTGCAATGGGCAAAAGCCTAACAGAGCAATATCGCGTGGAGATAGAAGACTCACGGGTTGTGAACTTCTTTTTCTGGAGAAGCAATGATGCTATCTGGAGAATAAGCATCGATTAATTCTGTGCCAACAGTCGTGATAAGTTAAATTAGGTTGAATACTATGCAACATGTGGAATTTATGTGAAAATGTTGGGGCGGTTCAAATCTTATTAGCCACACGAATATTTAGTAGTTTATAATTGGGCCTTGAGCTATTTTGATTAAAATAATTTTGATTATTTATTTTAATAAATAGCAATACTATAGTTATTGGAGGTATTTATTGAGTGATTTAATGGGGTAATAAAATTCACTATTTTTTTTTTCATTAAATTAAGAATTATTAGTGGAAGTTATAATTTGTGCGCTATATATACTACTTTTTTTTTTTGGAGA